ATTTCTCATAAGCTTCTAAGGATGATGTGCATCCAAGAACATAGTCTCCTTACCTGTAAAACAACCCAAACCACTAGGGTGAGTAATCAAGTTATTCGTAGGAAGAAGCATATGCGTATATCCTAAAGTTTCAATATCATTGCAAGATCAATATAGACGAATACAAGGGAGCATTCCACTTAACGTCTATGTTCAAGGTGTTCTAAGGGATCATCTTAAGCTAACTTAAACATTTCTTAGCAACACAATACCAATATAGATGTACTTAACAACACCAAATCGCATGAAACAAAAATTACAAGTTACAATTTAAACATTGATTGTCAACTTGGAATTGAATGCAAAATCAAAAGTGGAATCCTTGGACATCTAAGCTCGGAATTCTGCCGAGACCTCAATGGTTATTCCGGGCATTAACCCGTTGGGAAGACCACCCTAGTGTGCACTATCTTAATTGGGGAGAACTCATACCTCCCGTATTAGAGCCAAACTCTAGCCATGTCACTTGTAACAATGTCCTAAGAGAATCCAAAATATATCAAGTTCAAAACTCATACATAATATTAAGGTATATATATCACCTTCCATGCACAAGTATTTTGAAACCACACAAATCATGTCTTAGGTTTCCAAGTCTAGAATGGCATAATAAATGACAAGTTCTTAATATGATACAATGTGCAATATAATACCACTAACTTATCCATTTAAATCATGCCTCAACAATAACCTTCATATAGTAGATTACAACATTATAGTGTTAAGCTTATAAAATAATTACAATTACCAATAGTAATCAACTAGAATGTAGAGTTATCATCACAATAGTATAGTAATTCAAATTAATAAGAGTTTTATACGACATTAGTAATCCTACACAAGATACATACACAACATACGTGCTTAAAATCAATAAACCCCAAGTCAATCATAAGGATTTCCTATAGTATGCAGTACCACAATTCTAAAAGCATGTACACAATATATATTAAACCCCAAAGGATTATAAAACACTTAGATTATAAACATACTACCACCCCTACCTCAATAGAGAATTGAATCTCTATAATCCAAGCAACCAAGCTCAAAATGGAAAACAAGTTTAGGGTTAATGAAGAGGAGAGTGAGAGGAAACTTGTCTCCCAAGGTTGTAAGTCTAAGGTGAGTGGAAGGAGACCAAAATGAAGAAGAAAGCTATTAACCAAGCTTTTCTCCAATGGTGGCTAGGTTAGGGCTCTTGGAGAGCAAATGAAATGAAAAAGATAAAGTGTAAAATGGTGAGTGGAAGGTCTAGAAATCCTCCACTCACTATGTGTTCTTACACTACCTCTCTCACACACACAATGCAAGACTAAATGGTGAACCTAAACTTGTCACAAATTAATGGCTCATTCCTAGGCTTAATCTTAAACTTACACTTGTCAACCATCTAAGCCAACAAGTGCACCAATCCTAGGCCAACAAGTGGGTGAATCTCCACCCTTCAAATGTCAATAGATTATGTTTCCAAGTCACTCCACCCCATTGCCAACAAGTGGCACCAAGAGAATGTGACACTTGTCACATTTTCCAAAAATTGCAAAAAGGTCATTTTTCAAAATATCTTACAAATTAAATTGCAAAAAGGTACCTAAGACGAAAAATAATTATTTTACATAATTACACAAAAACCCCAAGAATAAAGATTAATTACAATAAAGTATGCATTCATACCCTTTTATGAAAAAATAAGCAACTAGAATGTATTTTCTACAAAAGTAAAAATACAAATGTCATGGAAATCAAATATCATGAATGCATGCAAAACCGGAATCAAATCCGAATACAACAAGTGAGGTTATGCAAGGAAAATGATAAACGGGAAAAAGACGAAATAGGGAAAAGACAAAATAGGAAAAAGACGAAAAAAAGAAAATCACCGAAAAAGGAAAAAGGAGGAAAAAGACCGGGTCATTACATTTCTTATCCTACTAGTATTAATAAAAGTACAGCTCCTTTGTAGCTTGTTCATTCTGCTGTGTGGGGTCCTGAATCTACTACTTTGTTACTTGGTTTTCGTTACTTTGTTGTGTTTGTTGATGACTTTGGGCAATATACTTGGCTTTATCTTATGAAAAGATGAAGTTTATTCCATTTTTAAAACCCTTCATAGGATGGTATATACTCAGTTTGGTTGTCCCCTCGAAATCCTTAGATCTGATAATGGAGGAGAGTTTATGTATGGTGGTCTTGCCTCAGTATTTGCTTATAACGGGATTGTCCATCAAACATCTTGTGTCGATACACCACAACAGAACGGTTTAGCTGAAAGAAAACACCGTCATATTATGGAGGTGGCCTGTTCTCTTCTAATTGGGATGGGAGTGCCTAAAAGTTTTGGGCTGATTCAACCTTAACAACTACATACCTTATCAATCGTATGCCTTCTAAGGTTCTTGACTATCAATCCTCCTTCTTTGTCTTACGCCATGACAGTACCTTGTTTATTGTCCCTCCGAAAGTGGTTGGTTGTGTTTGTTATGTTAACATTCATCATCACAAGGACAAAATGGACCTTAAGGCAATCCGATGTGTCTTCCTTGGATACTCCGCCACCCAGAAAGGGTATCGGTGTTATAACCCTACCACTCATCGTCACTTTGCCTTTATGGATGTTACATTCTGAGTTTGTTCCTTTTATTTTTTCTCCACTGCTCGGGATTCTCTACAGGGGGAGACTACTATATAGGTAGAGAATCCGTTGTCCATTAAGAGGGAATGCCCCTTTCTTTTACCTGTTCCCATTCAAGGGGAGCTTATTGAGGTGCCTATGTCTAGTCCTCCTAACACTAATGATTTGCAGTAGGGAAAGCAACTAATTGTCTACACTAGGAAGGCAAAACAAGTTGTTGACTCACCCATGACCAAGAAGTCTCCCTCGATCCAGGTAATTTCTTAGTTGACATTGATACTCTTGATTCTTTTCCCAATAACATTCCTGTTGATCTTGATGTCCCTATTGCCTATCGTAAGGGTGTTCGTAGTTGTCCATAACATCCCATATCTCAGTTTCTATCCTAGGATGCCTTATCTTCAACATATTGTGCTTCACTTCGTGTACCTCCTCTGTATCTGTTCCTTCTAGTGTTTTAGATGCTCTCAGTCAAACTCCATGGAAGAAAGCCATGCTTGAAGAAATGAAGGCCCTTGAGAAGAATGGTACTTAGGATATTGTTCCATTACCTAGGGGTAAGAAACCGGTAGGCTGTAAATGGGTCTACACAATAAAGTATCATGCAGACAGAACAATTGAGAGATATAAAGCTCGGTTAGTTGCAAAGGACTTCACTCAGACCTATGGAATTGATTATCTGGAAAAATTTGCTCCAGTTACCAAGATGAACTCTATACGTGTTCTTCTTTCTCTGGCAGCTAATTTGAATTGGCCCTTACATCAGCTGGATGTAAAGAATGCTTTCCTTCATGGTTACTTGGAGGAAGAGGTGTATATGACTATGCCACCAGGGTTTAAGCTTGCCAATGGTCAGGATTTAGTGTGCAAGCTAAATAAAGCCTTGTATGGGTTAAAACAGTCGCCACGTGCTTGGTTTGAGAGGTTCAACACTGATGTGAAAGGAGTAGGGTACACACAAAGTCAGGTAGATCATACTCTCTTCATCAAGAAGCACCAGGGCTGCACCACTGCTCTTGTTATATATGTTGATGATATTGTTATCACTGGAAATGATCTAGAAGAGATTCGTTAAATGAAGTCATTCTTGGGGACAGAGTTCGAGGTTAAAGACCTCGAATCATTGAGATACTTTCTTGGCATCGAGGTGTGCAGATCGAAGAAAGGGGTGTTGATTTCTCAATGGAAGTATGTTTTAGATTTGTTGGCTGAAACAGGCAGGCTTGGAGCTAGACCTATTGATATTCCCGAGCAGAACCATAGGCTTAATGATGTAGATGGAGACCCATTAGATGATGTGGGAAGATTTTAGCAATTGGTTGGGAGACTGATTTACTTATCTCTCGCGCGCCCGGATATTATCTACGCTGTTATTGTGATTAGTCAATTTATTGCACATTTGTTGGATGTAATCTTGTTTCATGGCGAAGCAAGAAACAGTCTGTGGTAGCTAGATCTAGTGCATGGGTTGAGTTAAGATCCATGGTACATGGAGTTTGTGAGTTGTTATGGCTACGTATGATGTTGGGTGAGTTGGGTTATCCTGTTCGTGAGTCAATGAAGTTGTATTGTGACAACAAGGCTACTATTAGCATTGCACACAATCCCGTTCAACATGACAGGACAAAGCACATTGAAGTCGATCGACACTTCATCAAGGAAAAGCTTCATCTTGGGCTGATTTGTACTCCATACATCAACACACATGATCAGGTTGCCGATGTTTTGACTAAGGGTGTGAGCAAGACTTGCTTGCAAAATATGTTAGTCAAGTTAGGTATGATAGATATCTTTGCACCAGCTTGAGGGGGAGTGTTGTCAGGGGCTTATTTGTTATTACTTATATAATGTTGGGGCTTATGTGTAATTTTTGAAACTTTTTATTATAAATAGAATGTGGTGGAAGGACGAAATTTTTTTCATTCTCTCTCTTTCCCCATCTCTCTCTCTCTCTCTCTCTCTTTTCTCTCACTCGCTTTTTTCTTCTTTATCACTTACTCTTGATTTGATCATATCTTAAACTTAAAGTCAAACATCAACAACATTTTTAATTTTACAAAGACACAGAAGCATGAAAATTAAACCCCTTTAGCTTACCTCTCTCTTCAGTAAAATGGTTAAACTTGATGTGTAATAAATTAGGCTTGAACAACATATTTTATCTTGTTCAAGATCAATTAACAATGTAACAGCTAAAATCATGTACCTTAGTAGTCTTCTAGCACAGACATGCCCAACATAATAAAATAAAGTAGGGTCTTTTGAGTAATGTTTGGATCTGGGTTTTCTCGAATGTGGAAGTGACATTAATGTGTTTTTCTGATTTCAGATGTTGATAGGCTTACTTTTTCAGTCCTGCCTCAGGATTATGGTGTTGGAGAGGGTGGTTGGTCAGGTCTTTCCTTCAGTCCAATTCAATGGTCCATGGTACATTGCTTCTTTTCCTTTGAACTGATTTACAAATTTTTGAAGGTATTTAATCTGGTTTGTAATCCCTATTTTAGAGGTCTGTATGTGTTTCAATGTTATCTGCTTCTCCTTTGAGGGAAATTATAGTGTATGATTATCAGGAATTGGGGAATTGCTTTCACTTACCATCATGTTAGGACTATTCTTGTATGGGAAGAATCAATACATATCTAAATGAAAACCTAAACAACTACCCACAATATTTGGAAACATGTTCAGTTTGTTGATTATTGAGTATCGTATTCGACATTATCAATATATAATCTTGGATCTTAAATATGAATCTAACTGGTCTCAATAATTGATACTTCACCACAAAGAAACTAGATCTATAACTCCAGCAACTTTATGATTATGATTCTCAGGAATTAACTGGAGCAGGGTAGTGAACTACTCTGAAGCAATTTTATTCATTTAATCAACATGCAATTTCATTAATATTGTCAATTCAAGCTAGTGTAAGATCAATTGTTATATTTTTTTTTTTTTTTTTTTAAACTCATATTTTTGGTCTAGTCAGAGATGGAGCCAAGAAGGGTTTAGTGAGGGCAGCTGCACCCACGGATTTTTTGTCTTTAATTTTCATTTTGTACATGTGTTTTCTTGTCATTCCAAAGCTTTCCCAAAGTATTTAGACATTGAGCACAAAGTATATTAAAAATCGACCAGTCCACTTGTAAATTTATAATTAAACCCTAAATCCATAACCCAAATACGAATAACTCTCACTTATAGTGAAGTATCAGGAGGAAAAAGACTCTATGGTATTCCTTTCAAAAGGAGGATCAGGGAAATCATATTAATTCTGGCTTGATCTAGATCTCATGGAAAGCATGAAAAAATGGATGATTTCATAGTTATTTTGATGGGAATGGTAATATGAGAAAACCTTGATATTTGCGGGCATCTTTTTCAATATATTTTAGCAAAGAAACAAAAGATGATTCTTCGTGAATTACACATCAAGCACAAATGTTTCCAAGCAGCATAAGTTCTGTTTGCGTACAGAGATTCGTGCATTGCGAACTATACTTGTTAATTTACCTTTTCTTACAATTGCAAGTTGTACTTCTGTTACTGCAAAAATATGGTACTTGTGGGGTGTGGGAAATTACAGATTGACCAACCCCATTGGGTTGGTCTAGTGGGTGAGAATTTGGGCTCTGGTGCCTCATGAAGCATTAGGTCTCAAGTTCGAGTTTGTGGGTAAACAATTTTCGTGGAAGGGAGTGTGTGAGTATCAACTAGCGAAAAAAATTACAGATTTACCACTCCATCTAAGCATATTTCAGAAGAAGGATAGCTCTCTTCCTTTTGATGTCTCAATACCGATCACTTTCGTATGAAGACACAATTTTTGGTTGTTGGTTGCCTGAAGTCTATCCCTTTAATCTCAGTCATAGCTTCCCTGTAGCACTGACTAAACCTTTTGTTTCAGGCAGCCATGGCACGCAGCTTTTGCAAAAGCATTGATGTATATGACCAAGACATTCATTTACGGACTCTACGTACGTAAGTGCTATGCGTAGTGCTGAATTACTTACATTGTTCCTTATGCTAAGGCCACTTCTTTTTTTTTTTTTTTTTAAAGTAATTTTTTTATGATGGCGTTCTCATTGTGAGCTCGCACCCTCATTGTTGGATCGAGAGGTTGACCCATCAGTCACTTGATCCAATGAATGAAAGCGTAAGCTTAGGATGTGACTTGCGAGAGCAGTCTCATCATAGTTTTTTTTTTTATTATTACTTTCGTAGGTGAGAGTACTCTTATTTGTTGGACTGAGAAGCTGACCTCATCAGTTCCTTGATCCAATGGATGAGGGCGGGAATCTGTGAGAGCACCCTCAGCACAATTTTTTTCTTCATAAAGATTTACACTTTGATGGAATGTTATGATGAAAGTTCTTAAATATTATCTTCAGATATCTATTTCATCACTTATCTGCTATGGATGTTATTAATGTCAATACTCTATTTGTTTTGTGCATTTGAGTCATTTGACCTCTTTTTTTTGTTTTATATTTCAATCATGATTTTTTTGGGTATAAATTCGAGCATTTTCAATAAAGTTTCTTGGTGTCTTACTATAATTCATAACATCTACCAATTTCAAAGCTTCTAGTTCTATTTAAAAAAGGTTTACTATTTTCATTGCATATATTTCAAAATTTCTTTTGGATATCTTTTGCTATTGATGTAGCTCTGTTTCAGGTTGTGGTACCCATCTTCATTAGGCTTTATACAGAGTTCATGCAATGGGAATGAAAGTTCTTTATTAGCTGTCACGGAAGGTTGCCAGGTATTACCTTTTCTGCTTTGTTGGTTTCAGGTTCATTTGTGTAAATAATGAGCTTCTTTCATTGTTTTCTTCCCAAATTTGTCGGTATTTTTTCATCTTATTGATTGATGCAGCTGACTTTATGGGACTTGAGAATGAAAGAAAATGGTGGTTGTGTGCATAGAATCTGTGGTTCTGTAGGGGATATCTTATATTCAGTCTGCAGTTCTTCAACTGGTAATGTTGCTGTTGGTGGAGCTGATCGTACTTTGACCATATATGATCCTCGCAGGTTGCTTGTCATTGGAGGCATTGCTTCATCAATTAATGAGTGTCTCTGACATATTTTATGGGTTTAGTGGTCCTGTTTAGTTGTCCTCTTATGTGAGCAAATAAATTGGGGGTGTATGGTATATTGTCTGCTTGTCAGTATGCTTCCATTTCCCCTTATGCTTCATTTAGTTTCCAATAAATAAAGGGAAAGAAATTGGATATAAATCTCACTTTACCTTGATTTGACTAAGAGCTGATATTTTTTTTGTGTCATAATGTAGATGGACAGCGATATCAAGATGGGTGCACTGCTCAAAATATGAGGTCAGTTAAAGGCATTCAACCTTCATTATTGGTTCGGAATTTCTATACTTGAAGGATAAATTTCTAAGGTTAATGTGGTTGACAGCATTTTTAGATGTTAGCGCTTTACAATCAAGAGCAAAATACTCTTAAAAATAGATTTTGTTATCTTGCTTGTGGAAGATAGTATTGTATGGAATGCTAATTGTCTAACTTATATTTGTCATACTTAATTTCATGATTTTTTCAAGATTTATTCCAACTCTTGTTTTCTATATTATTGTTTCATGCCAGTTCTCAACATTACAAATCTCTAAAGCAGATGGAAGGTATAAATAGGCTTTTGGATTCGCTCGTTTGAGTGACTATTTTGGCATTCGCTTCTTCGAGTGACTATTTGGTCTTATTGTAATTTTTCTTCATGTTAGTTTTGTTGTTTTGTAGAGGCAATTTTCTGCCTTAAGTGCTTAATGTTTGATGGTATCAAATTACAAGTTCGCTCCCTGGACTCTACCCCACCCAGTATTAAACTTTTGCACTCAACTTCTAGTTTGTCCGACCATATTGCCCACACTTTTTTCTTGTGCATAGCTTTCAGATTAAAAAACTATATAAATATTGACCTATTTGTTGCAAAAATGGGACAATGTGTCCATTAATCATGCTTTCATGGTTTAAACAAAAATGTATTTCTAATTTTGGACCATCTTATGTTTCCAATTTATTTAGCCACTGTGGAGTGAAAACCTATTCTTGGTATGCCTGGAAGTCTTCCAAGCTGATGGTCTGGAAATCATCTAAAATTTGATAATAATTGGTACCAGCAATATCCTAAATTGGATGCACCCTGTGGTACAACTGGTGGTCCTGCAGCACTGCATACGTACCTCTGTTAAGTCTTTAGGTTTCATGCTTGCGATTCTTTGTTAAACGAGTCTTAGATGCAAGTCTCCTACCTGTCCTTGAACAAATTATTTGGGCTGTAAACTGTTAATAAACAGAAAAGACTTCAAAAAGTAGACCAGAAAGCCTCTGTGCTCATGGTCATTGGGCTCGGTACCTTCTTGCCCATCACGGCAAACAGAAAGGAGCTGTGAGCAGCCTTGTTGCTCCCTTTTCTAATCAATATGGGTCTTATTACTTATCTTAGTATTGTTAAGTGTAGAAAGAAAAATAAAAGTTGAAGAGAAAAATCAAAACATGAAGAACACAAGGATATACGTGATTCAGCCACTAGGGCTTACATCCACGACACAAAGAGCCCAGAGAGCTACATCTCTTTCATTACACTCTCTTTTAATTTTGTTTTCAATAACCACCTCTATTTATGGTGAATTGGGGAAGACTTGTAGCTATAGTAAAGGAATTACACAGAAAGTCAAATACAACTATGGCAACAACTTGTTACCCATGTATAGTAACATCAATATTCTGCCAATGAGTGATTTAAGGGCTTAAATCACTCCTATAATAATTCTCCAACACCCCCCCTCAAGTTGAGTGTACAACTTGAAATTAAATATGAAGTTGTTGAGAGTCTGAGATGAGTTGATCCGGAGATACGAGACGAGTTGATCCGGAGATCTGAGACGAGACGAGTTGATCCGGAGATCCGAGACGAGTTAATCCGGAGATCCAAGACGATTTGAGTATATAGTAGGGTATGATAAACCTTCTTTGATACCATGTTGAAAGAAAAATAAAAGTTGAAGAGAAATCAAAACATGAAGAACACAAGGATATACGTGGTTCAGCCACTAGGGCTTACATCTATGACACAAAGAGCCCAGAGGGCTACATCTCTTTCATTACACTCTCTCTTAATTTTGTTTACAATAACCACCTCTATTTATAGGTGAATTGGGGAAGGCATGTTGCCATAATAAAGGAATTACACAAAAGTCAACTACAAATATGGCAACAACTTGTTACCCAAGTATAGTAACATAACATTCTGTAAATGAGTGGGCTTAAATCACTCCTATAATAATTCTCCACCAATAAGCTTGTGCAATGTGTGTGTGTGTGTGTATATATATACAAATAATATGCACTTAACTGACCATCAAGCCACAATCTGTGAAATAGGACACTTCACCTGTAAGCTTTATTGTTTTCATGGAGACTACTTTCTTTTTTGTTCAAAGAAGATGGATTTCAGTGTGAAGAGAAATGGCTCTTGTCAAACATTGATTTTACATTTTATCACATGATTTCAACTTCGAAAGAAGGATAGTATTAGGAATTAGTCCCCCTAAGATCTCACATAACAAATATACAATGGCAACAACGAAAAATAAGATGGAAGTAACACACACAAATAAGATTAAGGTTTATGTGGTTCAGCAAATTGCCTACCCCCACAGGAAAAGAATGGCTAACATTTAATTCAAGAGGATTACAATTAAATTTTTTTGATAAGTCAAGAGGATTACAAAGTTCAAGGGATTACCAAGAGGTGTTCCAACACATAGTCTTCTAAAAGGAATACTCTCACTCTTAGCCCTCACTGACTCTCTTTCTCAACTCAACTCTCTCACAATTTAACTCATGCACACCCAACTCAAAACATGAATCTCTATTTATAGAGCTCGGTGAGCAAAAATACAAATCCGTTTTGGGCAAGGAATGCAACTACTTGGGGCTCAAGTAGAATTAGTGCCGAACCATATATATGCCTTTGTTCTCCATATTTCTCTGTTCCCTTTTCCTATTTGCATTTCTTATTTTCGCATCCAAATTTGACATGGTATCAGTTCCAAGTTGTTCTTATAATCCCATCTTGAATTTGAGGGGGAGTATTGGAATTATTATCATGGAGCATATTCTCTATGTCTTCACTTTCCTTTCCCGACGTAGTTCTGGCTTTTCTCAGCGTTGTTCCGAACATTTCCCGGCTTAGTTCCGGCTTTTCCCGGCGTTGTTCTGGCCATTTCTCGGCTTAGTTCCGGCTTTTCCCGACTTAGTTCAAGCTTTTTTTCCCGGTGAGTTCTAGTTTATTTTTTCCGGCAAGATCTGGTCATTTTCCCTAGCAAGATCTGGTCAATTTCCTAGCTTTGTTCCGGACACCTTCTCATCATCTTTCAAGGCGTTTCTTTGACAAGTTGGGCATTCATGATATTCATGCTCCAACTTGAGGGGGAGTGTTGAAATATATAAATATTTCTATATAATCGTGGAACAAAATCCTCTACCAATCACGGTGATCCAGTCAATTTCCTTTCAACTATAAATATTTCTATATAACGGTGGAACAAAATCCTCCACCAATCACGGTGCCTCCTTTGACTATGGTACACCTTCCATATATTCTTATCTTTACATGCCTATATATAGGCTCTTTGTACTCGGGCAATATACAGATTTGAATAATAGAAATTTAGCCCTTAGTGGCTCTTTGTCCATGGATGTAGGCCTTAGTGCCGAACCATGTATATGCCTGTGTTCTCCATATTTCTCTCTTCCCTTTTCCTATTTGCATTTCTTATTTTCGCATCCAAATTTAACATGTTGCTCTCCATGTGCTCAAAAAATATTTGTAAGAGAGGGCGTAACTTAAGTATTTGTATACTCTTACAGTTGGACACCAACAGTTGACATTGCTTTTATATGTACATTTCCATTAATTCCTGTGCTTATGGTTGATGAATTTCCACTTTTTTGTTCAAGCTACAATAGGTTTTATGCACATGTGGTAGTCTTTTATTATGAAAAATAAATAGCTGTTCTTTTCTTTTGTTTATATTATGAAAAAGAAACATCTGCTCTTTTGTTTATACTGCAGATAACTGGACTTGCATTCTCATCGATAGATTCTGATTATATCTACATACAAGGGGTTGATTATGAGGTGCTTGCCCTTGAAATCACTGGAACTAATTTCCTCTTCCATTGTTTTCCTTCTTATACATCATAGTTCATACTTTAAAACTTCCTAAAGCATTACTTTTTTTATCTTTTCATTTCAATAACTAGTATTCCAATTTTAATTGAAAAGTTTTTATAAACTGAAGTGGCATTAATTCCTGTGCTTATGGTTAAGTGGAGGACTTTGCAATATGTTTGCAAAATATGAGAATGGATGGCATGCTGGTATGGAAAAATGTCTTGTAACATGCTAATTTCATCTACCCATATTGTTGTGGGGGCATGGGTGGAAACATGCCCTCGTCACATATGGATTTTACGGATCAGCGTTAGAGGCATGACTCATGAGTACATCAGTCTTTCATGCCAAGAATTTCACAAAATTTTTTTGTCTAGTAAAGGGTTTAGTGATATAGATTCATAGTTCAGGTGAGACCTGGTAAAAGCCATGGTATCAACTATCAAGTGCCTCTCATTTTTGTCTAAACAAAACAAATGTATAGTGGCTATCTGAATGGATTAATATATTTGTGTTCTTTCAAATGAGTGTTAATTCTTAGCATTGAACTGAGTCTGCATTTACAGGTTTTATGTGGACAGTGGAAAGAAAGCAAGAAAGAATTTTCATTTAGAGGAGATTCAAACTGGCTTGGATTTAGTAAGGTGTGATTTTCTTCTTCTAAAATACTCCATGAAAAATGCCAACACCACTCCGAGCATGGAAGAACAATTACGCTGTTCTTGTCTCATTTTAAAGTACATATAGCCATGCAACTCAGCATATTTGGTTTGCTGTAACCAACAAGGGTTTGTGCTGATTTGCTCAGCCCAAAACTTGGGTGTATTGAACCAAACAAAACAAGTCCAGGTGGAAAATGGTTCTTGTAAGGAAGGTTTTATAAGTGCCAACTTTTATACTTGGTATATATTTTTAGCATTTCACTTTTCCGTGAATAATTTCTGTGTGTGAATCTTACAGCTTAGCTTGTTTAACCTATTTCTGCATATTCTTTGCAGTGTCCCAACAAGGATGTTTTGGGGGGATGGTGTGATTCAGGAAGCATCTTTGTTGCTGATGTCCATAAGGGAAGCGAAGCACACATGGTTGAAGGTTTTGCAAATTGATCACCCTCTTGAAAACTTGTGCTGTCTGCCCACCTCCCTAGTTGCTTTTCACTTGTTGAACCATTCAACATGTCAAAAAAATTGATTAAACATACTGCTTTTATCATCAGTTACACAAGTAGTCGCCTTTTTACAAGTCAAGCCATTTAGTTAATGTTTGGTTATCCATTCCACAAAAAAAAAAAGAAGGAAATTTTGTTACAGCTTCATTGGTGGGGTTTAACCCTGTTACTGGAACATACATTTTGAAAGGTAAAGATTGATGCATTGTTAATTACGTGTATTCTAGCAACTATGTACTTATAATTTTGCAGCCTGGATGTAGATCTCTGGTAGTGTGTACGCTACGCAATTCTACCCGGTCACAACAGAAGGCCGAGTGCAAAGGACATTGAACTAAATTTGAATTTTGCTGTTAGCCTTGTGCATTTAAGTTGGGTGAATGTTCTCAACATTTGTTGAATATGTTCTCTTTTAGTTCAATCTCTCTGCTTGGTAAAAATCTGTTCATATTTTGATGGCCCGCCCGTAGGCTCATTTGGAGATGATATTTGATTTAACAGGGGAGAAATGAAGGGGAAAAATTGTTAGGAGAGAAGTAGATGGTGTTAATTATCTTTTTCTTGTTATTATTTATTTGGATTATTGCAAACAAAATAATGAAATGATTGTTTTATGATAAGGGGGTAACAAGTACATTGTTCAATTACTTTGTTAGCTCTTCTTCCCTCTTCCTCTTCTTTTCCTCCTCTTTCTCAACCCAAAAGTGAGATAAGTTTTATTCTTTTTTCTTTTCCTTTTTATTTCCTTAACACAGCACACTCTTTTATCATTTCAGCATCTCTAAAATATTTGTTCTTAGCTTCCTCTATATGTGGTTCTCTCATTTTTTTGAGCTTCCATTCCTGAGATGATTCAATTTCTGGAATTTGTGAGAATTTGCAACTACATTGAGTTGGAATGGCAGTTAAAATTTATGCTCTCCCTCACTTTGATGAAATTCTTTGGTTAATTGAGTGAAGAATCATATGACAGACAGGTTTCAAACAGAAACATATTTCAGTTGTGATATCTGTATTTGAATTTTACTCAACATTTTGTCATACGATTATAGTTCTTTTATTTTTTTATTTTTTATGGCAAGATTGTTAGGGGTTAGTGGGGAGGAGGGTGTAAAGGCTCGAAGCTGGGCTTCCAAGGAAGGCCCCTTGGTTACAATTTACAAAATGAGTTTTTTTTTGGTCTATTAATTAATTAAGCTTTCATTGCCTTTCCTTATGGAGTGAAACTTTAGATGGTAGTATGTCAGAGCATTTGTGTGTCAAGACTCAAAAGAGTTGAAGATTTCCTCATGTATTTAATGGCTTATCTGCAATTTTAATACTGCACTTATATTGGTTTTATTTTATTCTTTTGTTATTATACTAAATATACTTCAAGCACCCTTGTTGGTATCTCTTCCATTTTGTGTGTGTGTGTGTATCTATATATATATATGTAAGAGAGAGAGAGAGAGAGAGAGAGAGAGAGAGCCTGATTCCTTTTTAAGTATGCTTTGAAAGTATCAATGAACCACTTAGTCAACAGATGTTTTAAGGACACCATCCTACTGGAACAGATTAGTTCCAGAGATCCCCAACAACGGCAACTAAAGAACACACCCTCAACTGAGTTTCATCCTTGATGACAAACCTAAGTTAATGTAATGCCTTTTTTATTTTAAGCTTATATGGTTTGTGAGATATGAATTTTTGAAATTCGAAAAAATTAAGATTTTAAATAGGATATTTTGATCCAAATATCAACTCTTTTACGCCCTCAGATAGTTGAAGGGTGATTTATTGAAAAATGTTACAAGTCGAGGGGGTTTTTGGTAAAAAATTAGACGAGAATTTATTAAAAAAGGTTACAAGTCGATAGGAGTTTTTTGTACGTTCCCTTCTTATATAACCATATAAGTATGGAACAAGGACATCATAATTGATTGGATCCAGCAAAGACATTACGATTAATCCGTAGCCAACAGAAAGTATCTAATCAAAATAATTATTCTGGTTTCTCCTTCGATTTGGTATTGATGGTAGCCCGTTTGTACTCTTCGTAGACACTAAAATTTTAATGAACTTTTCTTTTGACAAATTGACCCATTAAATATGAGTCTAATGTTTAATTAAGTTATTTAATTAGTCCAAACTTGATCCACTTAAATTATTTAATTAGCCTAGTTCAGATGATGAAATGAAAAGATAATTATTTCTAATAAAATATATTTAGAATAATTATTTTTAAGAATAATTATCATATTATAACTGGCCTGTCCAGTTATGATTTTATTCTTATCAGGAGAGGATACGTCATTATCCTATGGATCCAAAAAGCCTATAAATAGAGACCTGGAGAAAGGAGGAAGGAGGAAGGGGACACACAAATTCAGAATTCAGAAATTCAGGATTCTAGAGAGAAATACAGAAACTCTACCAATACTCATCCCTAACATCCAAACCCAAAAGTGAAGAACACTAAGTACATTAAATCGTGCCGTTCTTCATCAAATCTCACGGTGATCAACAACAAGCACATCAAATCGTGCCGTTCTTTATCTAAATTTCACGGTGATTCAAGATCAAGTTCGTGCAGCCCTTGGATCCAACCAACAAAAAAGGAGGTCGAATCAGAGGACCTTATTCTTTGTAAAGAATATTATAGAGGATTGTACTCCAAATTTTCTAATTTAATAAAATATTATTTTTGATCCAATTTTGTTCTTATTTGCAGACTACAAAATTTGTGTGTACAAATTTCTGGCACGCCCAGTAGGACATCCTTTGCCTCTCATCTCTTTCTCCTATCATTAAGTTTCTTCTTTATCAGATTCTATAGTTCCCCCTAAGACCCAGACAGACAAGAAAGCCCAAAAGAGCATCGCTGCTGCAAAGGTCAGCGCCAAAGCCACCATGAAAAGTGACATGAAGGCCAAATCAAGTGATGGAAGTACCTTGGCGGGCCCTGTGACACGTAGCAAGTTCCAGGCAATCACGTCATCCAAACATCAGCAAGACTTGGTGAAAACCAATCCTACAAAGCCGGCGAACGTGAAAACTCAACATGTCAAGAACCCTGGCGTTGTTCTAGAGGAGATTTCGCCACCAGATTCACCTTATTCCATCTATGATGCTCACTCTAGTTTCGGTTCACCCCTAGAGTCACCACGTCAGACTTCAGAACAATCAATCACTTCAAGGAACGTTGACTCTCAAGGCCTATTATACTCAGACGTGGTCGTTGCGATGATGACTGGAGCTGCCACGGTGGAGGAACAACTAGCAACTATGGCTCGTGCCATTGAGAACCTCACAAAGACTGCTGAAGAGAAGGACTTGCAAATCACTACATTGATGAATAAATTAGAAGTTCAGACCTTTGGTGAATCACCAGTACCGTCTGGGAATCCTACAGCTTCTACAGCAGTGCCGTCTGGGAATCCTACATCTTTCACAGCAGTGCCTTCTGGGAATCTTACAACTTCCACACTATCGTGTCATCTGGGAATCCTAATTCTACGGCAGAAGGTACTCACATGGAAGACCCCAGACAGACGCCCGTGACAGAACAGGCGGCTAGTCAAACCAATCATGCTTCTTTAGTCTCTTCATTATCTGTCGAACAATTGCAAGTTATGATAATGAATACAATCCGAGCCCAATACGGAGGCGTCCCATAGAGCACTCTCATGTACTCAAAGCCCTATACAAAGAGAATCGACAGCATGAGGATGCATGTAGGATACCAACCTCCGAAGATTCAGCAATTTGACGGAAAAGGCAACCCCAAGCAACACATTGCCCATGTTGTCGAGACTTGTAACAATGCTGGAACTGATGGGGACTTACTAGTTAAACAGTTTGTTCGCTCCCTTAAAGGAAACGCGTTCGAGTGGTACACCGACCTAAAGTCAGAATCAATTGTTAGTTGGGACCAAATGAAATGAGAATTCTTAAACAGGTTCTATAGCATTTGTCGTACTGTTAGTATGGTAGAATTGACTAACACATAGCAATGGAAGGATGAGCCTATAATCGACTACATTAATCGGTGGCGAGCACTCAGTCTTGACTGTAAGGACCGATTGTCAGAAATCTCTACTGTAAAGATGTGTATGCAGGGAATGCATTGGGGCCTTTTTTACATTCTCTAAGGCATAAAACCTCGCATATTCGAAGAATTGGCTATGCGTGCCCATGACATGGAGATCAGTATAAAATCCCATGACGACAAAGGTCCGGTGGCCATAGAACCACACAAGGATAAGAAGGATTGGAAGAAAAGCGACAAGTCATCAAAGAACACTGCTAAAGAATCCATGACTATCTCAACTAGCCTAGTCAATATATCTGTTAAAGATAACAAGAAAGATGATAAAAAGTCTCGCCAGTTTCAAGAAGGGGAAAGACAGCGTCCTACACTAAAGGAATTAGAGAAGAAGGAATACCTATTCCCCAATTCCGATGTTCCTGTCATATTGGAATGCTTACTCGAAAGTAAAATTATAGACTCCCTAAATGCAAACGCCCTCAAAAGATGGGACGTGTTAACGACCTAAAATACTGCAAATATCATCGTATTATTAGTCATCTAATTGAGAAGTGTCTTTTCTTCAAGGAGGTGATGATGAATCTGGTAAAACAAGGAAAAATCTTGTTGTACACAGATGAAATTGTAACTTCAAATCATACTACTGCTACTTTGACAACCTCTGTTGTGGGGAGTGCTCGTTCTCAACCTTTAAATTCTGAGGTATATTATAGAACCATCCAGTTTGGCTCATTGGAACCAATCCCCATTTATGTTGGCCAAGGAAGTATACTTAACGTTTCATCATTTGGAAAAGTCTTTCCTTAGGATAATGAAGAAGGATGGACTCTGGTGACAAGAAAGAAACCACAGAAGGAACAATCTGACATTTTTCAGACTAGTTATTCCGACAGGGGGCAAAGGAAGAAGAAACCTCAATACCGCCATAGACAGTATGACCATAATAAAAAATGGGTCAAGAAGACAGTCATCCAAACACGCCTCTATGAGCAAAGGGATCCAGAAGCCCATTACTTTGCAAGAGTTCTTTCCAAAAGGATATATAGATGACAAAGTTGTGACAACTTACATAGTTTCAACTGGGAAAATGAGCCTTGATGATAAGAATAACAAAGATCAAGATGAAGCCCAGCCTGTGAAGGACCATGCAAAAGAGATAGCCATCATTGACAAGTTCAATAATAAGGAAGTAGTCGGAGGTACGCTTGATTCATGTTGTGCACAAATTTCTTTCACAAACGAGTATCTTCAGTTGGGTTCAAAGCCGCATAATTGTCCTCTCTTTGTTTCCAGTTACATAAGAGAACAAAAAGTTACTCGAATTCTTGTTGATGGTGGATTAGCAGTGAATCTCATGTCAAAATTTACGATGAAAAATCTCGGCATCACAGTTGATGAGTTATCTCGTAGCCCATATTATTCAAGATTTTAACCAAGGAGGATAGAGAGCTATTAGCATGATTCGGGCGAAGCTAACTATTGGCGGGCTCCAAGCTGAAAGCTTATTCAACGTTATTGATGCAAAGACATCCAACAAATTGTTATTGGGAAGGCCTTGGATACAAAGTAATGGCATCATTCCATCGACTC